TTCAAGATTATCCCATCTATTGATATTATTGGACATATGTGAAAGTGGAAAAGTGCTTATACGAATGATAAATATAGAATGACACAGAAAGAACGGTTAAATGCAGTTGTGTTTAGATGCATCTATTGAAAGTGATCTAAGAGACTATAGAAAAATGAGAGCACAAGATGCAAGGGGAAAAGAAAGATGTTGATCCCTGTACAATGAACTGCTATAAGTTTTTTCAAACAAAAACTGTATCATATTGGTATAATAAATAAAGTTTTAATTTCCAACCTTGACTTGGAAACCAAAATTCTTGGCAGTGATGATAAAAGAGTGACAAATCCATGTGAAAGAGGTAAGGAGAACATGGACAACAAGCATAATATAACAGCCTAATCAATAGTTTTAATTTCTATTCTAACCTTGACTTAGAAACGAAGAATCCAAGCAAGGATGATTAAAAGAGTAACAGAGCCATGTGTAACAGATAAAGAAGACATGGACAGCAACCATAATAGTAACAGAAACATGCAGAGGATGATATTAAAACAATAAGCTTGAGGTACTGAACGAGAAAGTGGGAATGCCATCAGCACAAAAGCACAAATGGAAGAACACAATCAGTCAATCAGTTCTAGCAATTAATATATGATAAATATAGGACTAAATAGGATAAATCCTTGCCTCATAAAACTGATGATTCCTCCACAGTAAATGTTACTAATAGCTATGGCAAAGCTACTTTGAAAATGAATATGAAAGGTTTAAGCTTGAAAACACATTAACAGATGTACCAAGTAAAGAAAAAATTACAATTGAGAAAAGGAAAAATCTAAAGATATATCTCTAACTAAGCACTGAAAGAAATAGAAGTGTCACAAGTTGACATGGTGGATGAGACAAAAATTTTAGTGGGGCTAAATGTATAGACAAAAAAAATTACATTTTTTTTCTTAACATAACATAATCACCCGACAATACTCTTTTCGAACATAACACATAACTCTACCAAAAAAAAAAATCTTGAATTTAGAATAGTTTAAATTTTTAAACTTGACTATGTTCACGGAAGCTATGTGTCCCTTTCAAGATATGTATAAAGTTTGAAGAAAAGCTCTTGTCCCTTCTACTCTAAATTTCTTATTGAAACACTATACTTTTTACCTGTTATTTAAAGTTATTTTACGCTGTTAAAAATTAATTAATATTTCTATTTATTATTTTATTTTTAATTTTATTTTACTATTTAAAGTTATTTATTGGTGGAGTTATAAAAGATTTTTTCAATGATAAAAACATGTTTTAAAAAAATGTAATTATATAGTTATTTGTATTACATGATTTGAAGTGCAGGAAACGAAGAAGTAATTAATCCTAATCCTGACATGTATTTAGCAAGCACAGTACAGCTAAGGTTAGAAAAAGAACTATGTTTCACCAACATAAGAAACTTTCATTTACACCATCTAATTTGGTCATCATGCATGCTACAAGAAAAAATAAACAATAAGGCAACACATCTAATTTGGAACAGGGCTTCAGTATGGTCCAAAAGCTTGTTGTGGATATGGAGGGGGTGACTACAACTTCGATCCTAAAGTTTACTGTAGCAATACCAGAGAGATAAATGGCAGCACAGTGACAACAATAGCCTGTGATGATCCCTATAACTACGTGAGTTGGGATGGAATCCATGCAACAGAAGCTGCAAACAAGTTTACTACCTATGCCATTCTAAATGGATCATATTCTGATCCCTTTTTCCTATTTCAGGAACACTGTGATCTTCAACCTATAGGTTGATCCATTTCCTTCAGGGTTGTTTCATAATTAACAAATGACGAAGGTCCTACCTCAAGATGTTACAAAAATAATTTTCAACAAAAAATCAAATCATACTTGAATAAATTACATAACTTTCAATACCGAATAAAAACAAGCTTGTGAGTTGTTCATTATCTACCAGCTCATAATTCAGCATTCATTTGCATGATGTTAACAGTACAAACTATAATTGGTTTTAGCCCAAAACAACTAAAGTAGAGGCAGGCTTTAGTCCAAGTGGTCATATATTTCTAATTTTTATATGTTTCTTAGAAAAATCTCACTTCATTCAACTCTCAATAGAATCATCCAGTCAACTAAGTTAATCATTTAAGGTCTTGTTGCTTTTCTCATTGTGTAACCAGATTTCGAAAGCAATCATAGATTGTTTGATCTCACTTTAATAACAGCTAATTACACCACGAACACATTTTGTGATGAGTATCTTAAGGATTATCAAAAAACCAATTTTGAGTCATTCAAATTGATAAGTTTTTATCAGAAGAAAAAACCAATTTTATAAGCAATTAACACCAGCTCTAAAATTTTTTTTATTAAATAAGTTCACTCATTTTTATCCTATTTTCTGATTAAGTGTAGTCTTATTGTTTTTTTATCTTTGTGGAGTTCTTAGTATCAAAAAAGTTATTTAATTTTTTGACTAATCTAGTTAACCACGATAAATTTATTTAATCAATAAAATTATTTCATTGTCAATTTTATTAGTTCATAACATAACACTCCAATATAAAATATTCTTTTAAAAAAATTACTACTTTCAGCCTTCTCTTAGTCAAAGACGATTGTTTTTATCACCTACTGGAACAAATTTGCTTGCTTGAGTTTCAAGAATTTTAATTATGAAATATAGTACATGCTAGAAGACACAAATTACTAATCATTTGTACCTAATTAAGGATAATATTAATTCTAAAATATTATACCCATTACCTACATCTAAAAATCCATATTAGAGTTACATTTTGTTATAAAAAATGTGTTAATTATTGACATTAACAATGTTTATCAGATAATTAATATATATTGTAAAAAATATATCTTACCAACATGAGGTACATTTGAAGGTACCAATTGAGTGATAAAAGATCCACCTTGTGATGCTACATTAGACTTCTTGCTAGAGAATCGCTTCATCATCGGGGATCCTGGAAGGCACAAAATAATATAAATAAAACTAGTGAAATATATAAAATTAAACATGAAAAATATTAAGGACAATAATAAAACATGAATATAATGACTAAATTGAGTTTCAATAATATAAAAAATATTAAGGACAATAATAAAACATAAATAATAGCTAAACTAATAATTATAAATAACACCTTGCTAATGGTATATTCCCTTCCCCATTTGGAAATAAAGTTTCCAAGTTTTGTTGTTGATATGGCTCACATTCATGAAAAGTGTCATCGTCATCACCCATGTCATACAAGTCTCGTGGCTTTAGATGTACAGGTATGCTCTAATTTTTATCTAACTCATCTTCTACATAATAAACCATTTGAGCCTCTGAAGCCTGAATGTATGGCTCATCATCTTCATGGTCACCAGTGTGTATCAAACGTGCAAAATTTGCTGAAGTAAATCCTAAGTCATCAGTTATAATTCCTTGCTGATTAGTTGTATTAGCCTACATACATTTGAATAAAGTAATTGAGAATCGACCATGATAGTTAATCTCAATAATTTCTGTCAATTTTCCATAATAAGGAACACCACCAAATTGCATCTGATTATCACTACTACTTGCATAGCTTCTTGTTCCAAATGTTCCAAACACTCCACTGTTTTGTGTTTTAAGCCCTTGGTCTCGTTCCAATATACGAAACTTTAATCCGTTAACATTCTATACACTATAACGCTTTGCACAATCAATTGGACCCATAGCTAAGAACTTAAAATCATCAGAATAGGATTCATTTGGTGCATCTTTTATCTATAATAAAAAAAATGAAGTGAGAAAATATTACTGTTCAATGAGATCAAATGACAAGAATATAATTAAACTTACTTGACGAGAAAACCATTGAACAAATTCTCTATGAACCCTCCTATCTATCTCAGAGGACGATCGTGTGCGACTTCTTAATTGTCGACGCAATACATTTCTAAATTCCCTACATAAAACACATAGATAATTGCATATTCGTACTTTAAGAAAGTATGGTTTTATAAGAAATTATCAAATAAGATTACTTACTGAAGAAATGGCTCAACTTTTGTACAATTGGTCAATACATGACGATGTGCTTGTAATTTTTCCTTTATAGATAAAGTGAAGTAACTAAAGCCACTAATTGGATTTTCGATCGGTGGAAATAAAGAGTTTGCACTAGATAATTCTACATTTGGCTGATCATCAACACGACCCATTCAATTAAAGACGGTCTCAATTCCTTCCAAATACCTAGAGCAAAATGTCAAACCTTTTCAGCTATATATCCTTCAGCTATAGACCCTTCCGGTTGTACTTTATTACGAACATAAGACTTTAATTTTCCTAGGTACCTCTCAATAGGGTACATCCATCGATATTGGACAAGTCTTCCAGCCTTGGCTTCTTCAATTAAGTGTACAATCAAATGAACCATGACTGTAAAAAATGAAGGTGGAAATAACATTTCCATATGACATAATGTGAGAATAATTCTACTTTGCAATTGGTCAAGTTCATTGACAATTAAAACTTTGCTACACAATTGTCTGAAAAATGAACACAAATCAATTAACACTGCTGATACTTGGCTTGGGAGTGTCTTCCTCATTGCTAAAGGCAACAATTGCTCTATTAAAATATGTGAATCATGACTTTTTAATCCACCAATCTTTTGTTGCCTGATATCAATACATCTACTAATATTACTTGAGTAGCCATCTGGAACAGTAATGTTTTTTAATGTCTTTAAAAACAGTTCTTTGTTTGTACTTGTTGATGTGAATAAAGCTGGAAGATATTTGTCATTTTCATTAGGCCATAAATCAGATCTTATGCCCCACTCTTGCAAGTCTCTTCGTGCATTTAAATGGTCTTCTAATTTTCCAGAATCATTTAACAAAGTAAATACCACATTATCACATACGTTTTTCTCAATGTGCATGACATCAAGATTATGACGCAATAAATTATTCACCCAATAAGGAAGTTCAAAAAAGATACTCCTCTTACGCTATTGTGAAGGTTCAGCTTGTGTCCCACCAACTCGACGCACTTTTTTTGCCCTTCCTTCAACATCTAAATCTTTTCCAAACACCACATTAATCATCTGAACTTGTTGCCATATAGATGCACCGGTTATTGCTACAGGAGGGTTTCTATTTTCTACATTTCCATCAAATCGACTTCGAGCTAATCTAAATTTGTGCCCTTCATTAAAAGATCGACGATGACCCATGAAACACCACTTTCGACTATGAGGAAGTCGGCTAGGAACTGAGTCAAAATTACAAGTAGGACATACTAACCCAGTATATGTATCCAATCCAGATAAGGTTCCAAGACCAGGAAAATCACTAATAGTCCACATCACAGCTTCATGCATGTTAAAAACTTCATTGCTATATGAATCAAAAGTTCTAACACCAGTAGTCCATAAATCTTTCAATTCTTCTAGTAATGGTTGAAGATATACATCAATGTCATTTCTCGGTGCTTGCTTACCAAGAATGATCATCGACAGGATAAATGAACTCTGTTTCATGTACATCCAAGGAGGAAGGTTGTACGGTATGAGCATAACTGGCCAAATACTATAACTCGTGCTCAAATTCCTGAAAGGATTAAAGCCATTAGTAGCCAACCCAAGGCGTACATTTCGAGAGTCTGAAGCAAATTGAGGATACATTAAGTCAAATTTCTTCCATGCTTCTGAGTCTCTTGGATGCCTTAATATACCCTCAGTAGTACTTTCCAATCCATGCCATTGCATATGCTCAGCAGTTTTTGAAGACATAAACAACCTTTGCAAATGTGGCTTTAAAGGAAAATATCTCAAAACTTTTGCAAGCACCTTTTTTTGTTTATCAGTAGTATTAGTATTTGCACCCTTATCTTTTGACTTCCACCTAGATTGTTTGCATGTCTTACAAGTATCTCTATTTGCATCTTCTCCAAAGTATAACATACAATCCCTCAGACAGGCATGAATTTTGGTGTAATTAAGGCCAAGTTTGGCAATAGTTTTCTTCGCTTCATAGAATGAAGATGGAATATTAGCATGTTCAAAAGCATCAGCCAACAGCTCTAGGATCATTGACATTGCCTTGTCACTTGCTTTACAAAGACATTTAATATGATACAGCTTGACCAAGAATGAAAGTTTTGAATATTTATCACATCCTTGTACAAACTTTGTTGACCATCCCTAATTAACTCCAAAAATTCTGCATTGTTATCAAGCAAGGCTTGGTTTGATTGTGGACAAATATCATCATTTTCTTGCATATCATCGCGACTTATATGATTTCTAAATATATCATTGACCATATCACATATAGGATCACTAGCAATAACTCTATCTTCAATCTCCCGAGACATTGAAGGTCTTTCAACTATAGTATCTGCATGACTTATCTCTCCATGTCTTAACCAAACCGTATACCCTTTCAAAAAAGGTTTTACAATCAAATGGTCATATACTTCTTCTCGAGATTTCCATCTATTAAACTTGCATTTAGGACATGGACATATTATCCCACCTTCAACACTCCTATTGGCAAATGCAAAATTTAAAAAGCTATTCAATCCTTCCACATATTGTGGTGTATTTCGAGGCATGTCAATCCATGATTTATCCATTATTTCTGAGAAGCAAATATAATGAGTAAATTAAGTTTCAATAATACTAAGTATAAGCACCCATAAACAAGAGAGAGAATCAATTTATAAAAATACATTCTTAAATAGATCAATATAGGTCGATTGAAAACATGTTACGTTTCTAACTACTTGAAAAATTGCATATAAATAGTATTCCTTAAAGTGGTAATGATACACAAGTTATAGCTATCAGCAATTATCACAAGTTAACCTCAAAATAAATCTTCAAATAATGCTAACTTTGAAATGTAGCTAATGTACACTTACCAAGATGGAAAATTTTCTAACTTTGAAATGTCCTTGTCTGTAAATAGAAACTCAACAAACAATTTTAATCGTCAAGCCACCAAAGGAGGGAAATTAGCCTGCAAAATTGTATAGTGACAATGAATAAGCCTGCAAAAATTGTATTGTCATAAATAAACTAGTTCACATAACAGTGACACTTGTAAATTCATTCCTTCACACTACAACAACACCAATGCACTACAACTTCAAATACTTTCACGTGAATTATTGGATAATATCTATCTTACCATAACTTTTTGGCAAATGGTCTTGTACTGTAAATATTTAGAGTCTACATCTCTCAATTTGATATTAGTAGTCGCAGCATTACAAATTAAGGTATAGTTAAATGGTCAATTTTTTATATTTCTACATTTTTTTAAAAGATTTAACTAGTTCCCAAACAATGTCTTGGTTTTTCAATTCTATATAAAAAGATAATTACAAACTCGTAATTCAAACGTAGATGTGGAATTACAAGTTGTTAACTAATGAATTGCCTTGCACGAACTTATTTGTAGTTTCTAATTCAATTGGTTAACTGAATTTTAAGGGAAAAAGGAGCTAAAAATTCAAAGTCAAAAATAATATTTTGATCACAATATAATAGTAATCAAACAACTCAATGAGTCGGCCACTTGACAAGTTTAATAGAGGAAAGTGGTGGTTTCTGTTTGCCAACTCTGCAGCAATCTTATGTCTATTGAATAGTATTTAAAGCTGAACGTAACCTAAAGACGCCTGCTATTTTATATGAAGTGTTTCCTGTTATTCTTGTCAATTTAGTGTTTACCAACTTCCAAAATCATTTTCTCAATCTGTCAACAATATTCTATCCCCCTAACCACTACTATATTCCAAACTTTACATGTACCTCAGCTGCAAACAATGATAGAGTCGATCAAAATGGATATGCAAGTGAACACAAATTATTTTTCATGACATTGGTTTTGATAAGGAAAATACTGAAATACCATAGCTTTTCTTAAGTGGCATGTTCTAACCATATTCAAAGTGATTAGGATATATAAGGATCAGCCCTCAATGTTACACATTTAATTATTTTTTGTGGATTTAGCATTAATCATTATGATGAATAACATGTAATCAGACAAGGGTCCAAAGCCAATAGTATTTTGCTTTATCATTTACACTACAATTTGATATTTTATTATATATCTTTAGACATATGTTAAAAACATCATTATTTTATTAAAGTTATAAATTATAAACATTTTAAAATTTTTAGATCTATGAATTTTTAATATGAATTGCATATCCTGCGAGGAAAAATAATCTACTGCAGGGGATCCTGTTCCAAATTGTCCCCTGTTCCAAATTGTAAAATAGTTGTGTAGTAACAGTACATTGAAAAGGAATAATGGAGACACAGCTAATATTAAATAGCAAATTTTGTGACCCCTTTTCTTTTTTGGCTCAATGCTAAACCCGTTTTAGCTCTCTCTTATTTTCTTTTGAGCTTAAACCACTTTGCTTTTTCTTTCATAAACAACTATCAGGATACATTTGAGTGTAAACTTTACTGCACAAGCTTTGAAAGTAAACACTACCTGAACACAAGATCTACCAGTTTACATCAGCTGTGTAACACCTTATATTTCTTTCCTCAATACATGATAAATTTTCATAAAAATTAATATGGTAAAGTAAATTTTCCTTCAAAACTTTCTAATAAGGAAAAGACATTGAAATGATATAAGGTTCATAGAGTAAAATTTCATTAATTCATAAGTACTTTAGGAAAACAAAGATTCTAAAGTTTTCATCAGCAATAAAGAGGAATAGTAGTTTTACAACATTTTCAAAAGAACGCTATAGAACTGAAAATATTCATTACATAACTCAAAATAACTAAGTCCTATAGCAGTTCTCATCCATCCATGCACTGTGAGCCTGGTACTATTCGTCCTGGTTTCCTGAAAAATATTGTGTAAGGGTGAGTCTCTACCCTACCACTCATACATAACATATACATTCTTCACAAAACACATCTTATCACGATTAACGAAAACATCATGGCATTACATATCACAAGGTTATATAAAGCATATTCTCATCTCAACGAGCATTACATTACACAGATTCACAATTTCTTTTACTTTTATCCGCGCTTACCGCTCCCTGTGGCCACAGTTATCCGATGCCTCTATCTCGAGGTCTTACACATTCATGTAAATAGTCGCCGGATGGCCCAATGCAATACGGATACAACGCATGCAATAGACGGCCCCTTAGCAAAGGTAATGGTCAGGAGTCAAGTCGAGAAATGAGTGTGTGGCCATGTGGTGCATTCGAACACAATATTCCGTGCACAATCCCGAATGTCACTCACCACCCTGCATTTCCCCAAGATATCCCATATCGTCTCCATCTTCCACTTCCCCAGTGTATCTCTGTAACTATTTACATCATATCTTTTTCCATGCTCTTTCGAGTATATTCACATGTTCACATATGCCATTTCTCATGTTCACACATATTTTTCATCATATTTCCACATACTTTTCATCATATACATCAAACCATGGCATATTAACAATACACATCATTTTTACATGAAACACAATATATTCAAACATAAAACTTCCATCTCTTTGTATATTTCATATCACAAAATCATATAATCATATCAACCATCTTCAATATACCTTATTTGGACATAATATCACATTTTCACCATGTATTCATCATAAATCACATAAACAGCCAATTATTCTCACTATTCACCGATTATTTTTCATAAAGCAAGGATTATTCCACATATAATCACATACATGACAAAATCTATGAGAATACAAGTAATAAACATAACAAAATGATAAAGTAGAGCCCCCTTTACCTCAAAACAGAGCTTTTACAAGGATTTAACCGAAGGTTTAACTCTAGAACGGAGGTTTTCTTAAGAACATCATGAACATCTATAAGAAGAAGAAGAAGAAGAGAAACGAACGGTAAATCTAACTTCAAACTTAGAAAAACTTACTTGTAATCCTTTAGATCGAACGTAGAATCACAGATCTGAAGAAAAATCTAAGTTTAGGAGGTTTAGTATGGGAGAAAATGGCGAGATATGACTTTAGAACCTTTGAGAACCTTGGATAGGAGTGAAGAAATAAAAATTTCGTCTGCAACCCCCTTTTTATAGAAAATTTTTGAAGTTACTGTTCACCGCCGGAAACACTGTTCACCGCCTTACTGTTTTTGCCGGAAACACTGTTCGCGGTAACTGTTCACGCCGAAAACACTGTGCACACGTACTGTACACGGATTGTACGCGTACTGTACGCGGATGTGACGTCAGCCATGACGTCATGCTGATGTCATTGATGACGTCATCGTCACTGTATAAAGGCGGTTTTACTGTTCATACGCGGTTTACTGTTCATAGGCGGTTTTACTGTTTATTTTATTTTTTTTTTAATAAATTCTATCCAAATCTATTCCAATTATACTTTAATAAACCTCATTTTATTTAAATCAAAATATAGGATGTTACAAGCTGAACATGATAGCATGCATAAAAAGAATTGGCTTTTTATTTCTTCAAACAAAAGAAAAATAAAGTGGAGTATTTAAATCTAAAGGTTTCAAAGATGATAAAAGAAGTGTAAAAATGTTAAGTTTGACATGTTAGAAGCCGTTTATTAGTATTTATGAAAAAATCGTGTAAAAGAAACGATAAGGTTTAGATATGTGTTCATAGAAAGTTACTTTAGTATTTTTGTTTTTTTATAAATATAGTTTCATTTTAAGCTACACTTTTTGTTTATTGTAATTTTTTTATTAAGATTGTTTTCTATATTTCTTTATTTATTGTTATTTCTTTATAATTGTTCTTCTTTTTCTTTTTCTATTTCTCATTCAAATTAATGCCATCCACTTATCTTCATTAATTTGTTTTCTAAAATCACATTAATAAAGAATTCATTAAAAGAATCTAAAATTCAAACACAGATTATTCTGTGTATGTTTAGCATATAGAATTGAGTATGGAATTGGACGTTAGAATTGGAATTAGGCTTAAGAATTCTAATTATCATGTTTGGATGTCTATTTGGAATTGAGATAATGATTCCATGGACCAATTCTATGAAATTCTATTATAACTAAATTTAACTCACTTCAATTCCTACTGCACCCTAGGAATTTGAATTCCTAATATCATAATTCACAAATACACTCTCGCGTATCTTCTCTCCCTCATCTTCGTAGTTCTTGTTTCTTTCCCAATGCTTTCTTTCTCTTCTTTATTCCCTCTTTCCCCTATGCATCTTTCTTCTTTTACTTATGCTCTGTATTTTCATCTATTTTTAGCTTTATTCTAACATTGATTATTAATACAACTTCTTTTATATGTTCTCTCATTTTTTCTCTATTATCTTCTTTCTCGTTTTACATTGATTATTAATAAAAGTAATTTTTTTCTATTCCTCTTCCTCTTATTCTTTCTATTTTTCTTTTATGCTTTTTATTCTTTCTTTCTTCTTTTTTTACATTTGTTTCCTATTTTTCTTTTACGTCTTCTTCTTTCTTTCTTTCTCATTTTTCACATTTGTTAGACGTTTAATATATTTACGTTATTGTATCATATTACTATTACGCGCTTACTGCAAATTGTTTATGTTAATTGTATAATAAATTGTTTAATACTTTTCTTGAATTGTTAAATG